ACTGTGGCAAATCATTTGCAACACGTGCACATCTTCGAAGTCATCAGAACACTTATACTGGAGAGAATTCTTATACGTGTGGGGTTTGTGGCAAATCTTTCCCTGCATGCTCATATCTTGGGACACATAAGAAAATCCGTACAGGAGGGAAGCCTTACAAATGCCAGGAATGTGTCAAATCATTTGCAATCAGCAAATATCTTAGAGGAAATCAGAAAATTCATACTGGAGAGAAATCTTATACATGTGTGGAATGTGGCAAATCTTTTACTACATGCTCATATCTTAGAATACATCAGAGAATCCATACAGGAGAGAAGCCTTACAAATGTCAGGAATGTGACAAATCATTTACAACATGCAAATATCTTAGAAAACATCAGAAAATTCATACTGTTGAGAAATCTTATACATGTGAGTAATGTGGCAAATCTTTTACTATATGCTCTTATCTTACAAGACATGAGAGAATCCATACGGGAGAGAAGCCTTACAAATGTGGAGAATGTGACATGGCCTTTATCCTCAGATCAAAACTTGAAGACATCAGAAAATCCATACAGGAAATAAACAGTTAAAAAAAAAAATGTCTGCGATGTAACAAGTCCTCTGCCTACATAAAAAAATCTTAGAATACTTCAGAGAGTTCACACTACAGAGATGTATTAGAGATGTAAGGAATGTAAGAAGAATTTTGGTAGCTGCTCATATCTTAGAGCACATCAGAAAAGACATATCACAGAGAAACTTCACAAAGTTAAGACCAGCATCTCTTATATCCACTTCTCAAATCTTAGAAGACATCACAGAATTTATCCTACACAGACACCACTGTAAATCATGTGACACAGCATTTACATGGTACTCTTGACTTATAGGTCCCAGCTATACATAATGGAGATGTAAATATAAGGGACTTTTGAAAGACTTTGTTGAAGTTTTAAAACTTATGAAAAACACATAGTTAATATTGAAATAAAATTCTGCAAAAGTAACTGTGAATTATTAAGTCTACAAGAATTTCTACGCACTATCTGTTTGTTTGAGGACTTTGGAGGCCAGAAGGAGACATAATATTCTCTGAAACTATGCCTAACAACAGTTGTGAGCTATATATGTCTTTCCATATCCAAACATTGAGAATAATGCCATGCAAGGTGGTACATGCCTTCAATCTCAGCACTCTGTAGGCAGAGTCAAAAAGATCTCTGTGAGTCTGAGGCCATCATGGTTTATATAGTCAGTTCTAGGACTGTCAGAACATCATAGTGATTGTCAACAATCATAATGATAATAATAATGAAAAAATATAGTAACTTAAAAATGTGGTGCTGTACACCATACAATTCATATTTCTAAGACTCCGCATGAATTTATATCGTATATAAAACCTATGTGTCATTGTCCGATACAAATTACAGCCACCAAACACATTCATTTCCTAAATCCTTTACCTAGGGTTCTGTAGTGAGATAGTCCTTCTGTGGCACACGTTGGGTGCCATCTGTAAGGAGTTCGGTTTTTCCGCCTGCCGCCTGGTCTTGTCCTGCTGCCGCGCCAGCCCCAAGTAATACACAGAGACTCTGTATTTGATATTATCCTGTTGGCCAGTTACTAGTTTCTTATCAGCTAGCTCTATCTTAATTATTAACCCATTTCTGCTGATCTATGTATTTCTCTTACCAGGGAGCCGGCAGCATACTGCTTTCTCCAGACTCTCCATCTTCACTCCTCTTTACTACTTCCTATTTCCTCCTTGTTTCCTAGTCCCTCCCATCTTCCTATCCTATTGGCCAACAGTGCTTTATTATTAACCAGTATGAGAAACATATACAGGATGACATCTCCCATCAGGGTTCAAATTGCAAATGAAAGCACAGCCTGCCAAAAACCAAACACATATACTTCTCATTGTTTGTTTAGTTTCAAAACTTCATATTAGAATTAAATTCTACCAAAAACCAAACACACAAAAACTGTTGCCATAATTTCTCATTTTTTGCTCACTCTCAAAACTTCATATTAGAATGAGAGAAGCTATCCATGATGGTGCAGGCATTTCTGATGGGAATGGTGAAAGTCTTGCATCCAGCCCAGCATCTTGACCAAGATCCAGCAAAGCTGAGTTCATGATGTTCACCACCTGACTTTGGCTTTGATCTCCACATCTTGCGTGCTTGGGGTGCTTCTTATGTGTACATCATGGGGATATTGGATTGATGGAATTTCAAAGGAATCATTTATGACTTCTCCTAGGACTACTGCTTCTAAACTTCCCCCACAAAGATTATGTGCATACTACCTGTTGTTCTTTTGCTGAGCAGCTAATGCCTATGAAACACAAACACGAGACTCAGCGCCCATGTGGAGTTTATTGAGAGAGGGGAGAGAAAGAGGGGGTAGCCGGTGGCCAACAGAAAGCAGGAGAGAGAGAGGGAACAGAGAGAGCAAAGAAGCAGAGAGGCAGAGAGAGAGAGAAGCACTTGGCGTGCTTGCTTTAAAAGAGGCTTGTGCATGCAGTAACTGAGTCCTCTGGCTGCCAGGTAAAGCTGACTTAGTGATGACATCCCGCCCATCGTTGGGGCGGGGGTCAGATGGCTGCTAGTTCCTAACATTCCCACCTCTTATTGTTATTAAAAAGGTGGGGGTTGGGCGCGGCAGGTTAGGGAACAAGGACCAAGGACGTTGAGTTCTGGAAACTGCTTCCTGCTGAATTGGGGGCATAGATAGTCTTTGGGGGAATCCGCAAAGACTGGGGTGCTGCCACGTCCTGGTAGATGGTTGTTTCATCACAGTTCTGACAGTATGGGGCTCTGGCATCTCTTTGAGAATTGGCAAGATGTTAGCAGAACAGAGGACAAGGTTAGGTTTTTTTTTTTTCCTTAGGTCTTAGTACTTAATGGGAGACGTGTGAGGTGCGGGAGGAGCTCCCAAGGGGGTCCGGGGACAAGGGAAGGAAGTCCCAAGACCAGGAAAAAGATGAGTAATTTATTTGGAGTGAATCTGACCTGTAAATGGATCCAATTCTGCTCCCTGGAACTTAAAAGAATCCTTTGAGTTTGTGAAAACATAAATATTAAGACACATTAGCAGCATACTCATGTTAGAAATGATTTGGCTGAAAGAATTAACACATGCAGCTGGCAGATTTTTAGCACAATGAAAAGCACCTTAATTGTAAGGTCATAGTTACAGATGTGATCATATAGTGGCATAGTATGGTGTTTAACACTGTTAAAACTTTATTGATTAAAGACTATAAACAGTAGCAACATTAAAATACCCATTGAAATCTGTTGAAACAGTTGGAGCCTTTGTTGCTGCTTTAAGCTGACAAAGCTACCAGTTGTCAAAAGCATCAGAGTTCTTGAGAAGGATAAAATTTTACCTGAATGATTAGAGAGTAACAGAGACTTACTAGCTGGCAGCATGGACAGCCACCCCAGGTCCTCCACAGTTGTTGAAGTCAGAGGCTTTAAAGATGTCCGCCTTCTGCTGATGGCAGGAGACCTGTGGATTACGAGCTTTTGGAAGACTTACCTACCGTTGGCCCAAGCAACGTGGAGAAAGTCGATTCCACTGCCCTCTTGTCCACGGTCCTTAGAGCCCTTTGCAGCAGTTGAGATGAAAGGCAGGATTGCTCCGTGGCTAGCGTAGCCACTTTTGTGGGTGGAGCTTCTTTCAGTGTCCATCAGTCTTCTTGGAGGAAATGGGTGGTGCCAGCAGCTGGCCTGTCTCTCCTTTACAAAAGCTTTTTAATGAAACATTTTAAATGCCATATTCTCTACATCTCTGAGCATTTGAGGACTGTCTGACTGTTTAGCATACCTTAGTACACAAAAATATGTCTTTAGTTACCTGCCTTAAGCACATAGGTGGCTAGGTAAGGCTTTATTCCTGTAATTAATTAATCTGTGTGGAAAACTGGATCCAAGCTGAGAGGCTGTGGAGGGATGTTTTACTCAGAGCCCTGCAGCCTGACTGTAACTGGTTTTAACTTAGTAGGTTAGACTTATACCCGTAGAGGACAAAGAGGTAGAGAAAAACTCCCTTTGATAATAGAGGCTTAACCTTTATAAACAGCTTACAGGAAAGACTGAGTAGCATAAATATTTTGTTAGCTTGAAATAGACATGTATAACCTTAAATGTTTACCATCATTAAAAGGCACATAACAATTTAGAAGTATTTGAGACTTAGTACAGTTGAATTTAAGTTGTATGAAGTTAGCTTACATTTACATAAATTTAAATTTAATGTACAGATACATTAAACAGGACTGGGTAAAATTGAGAAGACTAGAATGTGAAGCTATGTATGACATAGTGAAAAAGAAATTAGAGACAAAGAATAAAGCAAATAAAAGAATAAAAGCAAAACGTAAATGAATTACAGGTTTTGTTGGTGGCAGAAGCTGGCTAGACTACCTCTGCCTAGGTGGCTGGTGTAGCAGAGGGAAGAACCATGGGGGGGGGGGTGAGGCTAGGCCACATGGTCAAGATGGTGGCTGCCATAAACATATCCCCAACAACTGGCAGAAATCATAAAGTTTTGAGATAAAATTTTGTCTTGAGTAGATGCTTCCTCAGCCCAGGCTACTGCTCTGAGACAGGTTGCAGCTGCGGCGGGCAGGAGAGTTTTAACATGGTGGGAAGAGAACAGAAATAAGTTTAGGGTAAGAGATTATTTAGCAGAGAGATATAAAAAACTCCTTCCATCCACCTGTTCGCTGGCAGTAATTTGAAAGATCCAGTAAAATATCAGGATCTAGAGAGCTGTTACGCGGCCAATTTGAATTATTTTCTAGGGGATATCTAGGCCACTTTTCAGTACAAAGGTATATAAGATTGGGTGCCTTAACAAGTGGCATCTATCAGGCATCCCAGTGGAGTGGTGAGGGGTATTAGCTTGGTCGGTTTATTCCCCATGAGTAGAGCAGAAAGTGACCATGCAGTCTTGGAACTCATCAGCTCAAGAGTGTGGCCACACCATAAATGAGAATGGCAGAGCATTATTCGAAGCTCATCAGCCCGAATACGTTGCCAGGGCCAACAGCGGCCAAAAGGACTCTGCAGTCCGAGAGCAGAGCAGATATACCGCCCCGGGCGGTATGTCTTCTACCCCTGAGGAATGTACCCTACCTTAAGGAAATGGGTTAAAATTTAAAAGGGTACCTTACCTAATTGAAGTCTGTTTGGGGTGGTATTTCCAGCGCACCGGGGGGTGGGGGTGAGGTGGTGGGGGTGGGGTGATAGAGGCGGACTGCTGGTATCGGAAACAGGATTCCAAGTGTCTCTGGCTGGCCTCCCGCCAGCAGACGGCCACCAGTGACCCTCAAGGAGAGTCTGCCCGGGTTTTGGCACCAATGTTGTTCTTTTGCTGCACAGCTAATGCCTAAGAAACACAAACATGAGACTCAGCGCCCACGTGGAGTTTATTGAGAGAGGAGAGAGAAAGAGGAGGTAGCTGGTGGCCAACCGAAAGCAGGAGAGAGAGAGGGAACAGAGAGAGAGCAAAGAAGCAGAGAGGCAGAGAGAGAGAAGCACTTGGCATGCTTGCTTTAAAAGAGGCTTGCACATGCAATACTGAGTCCTCTGGCCGCCAGGTAAAGCTGACATAGAGATGACAGGGCCATGAGCTTTACGAGCATCCTTGGGGCGGGGGGTCAGCTGGGTGACACTATCTAACACTACCTCTTTGATTTTAGGGAGAAATCCTCATCTAACTTCAAGGTCTTCCTTATACCTTCCATAAGGTGATGCACATAAAGAAGACAGAGGTCTCTAGTAGAGGCTCTGAAATGTTCTTGAAACATCCATACCTGTATGTACTCAAGAATAAGATACTCAGAACAAAGTGCAAGTCTTTTTACAATACATTCAGGCGATTATGGGGCACACCCAGAAACAATGTTAAAATGGCCAGAGTTAACCTCTGCCCTACACAGGGACTCATATTGATGGGAAAAGAATATTGCAGAAACTGATCAATGAACGAGGTGTCAGGACCTTCAGGGGTTAGAAAAGTTAGCTTGTGTGGGGCAACTTTTGTGTTCCATGACCATGGAATAATACTGCCAGGATAAGACATATACATTAATTTTCTGAGATATATTGTATGAATATTATATTAGGCAATAAATAGAACAATAACTGCAGCAGTTTTGGCCTGTGTGTCTTTCCTGGACACACTGACAATAAAAGTCAATAAAACACTGCTAGGAAGTCCTGATCAATTTCTCCCACCAGAGGCTGGAAAGGGAGGTTGCTAATCAGAAGTCCAGTGGTTTCTGATAGCCTCTGATTTCCTGGAGTGCAGAGTACCAGGCCTGTAGCAATGAGTTTTCTCCACTGCTCTAGTAGAGGACCCAGTATTGCGAGCCGCTATGGAAGGTAGTCCTTTCCTGGGGTGCTTTTTACCACCTGTGGGTTTGCAGCCACTCTGCTTTGTAGGAGCCATGCTATAAGCACCTCCTTACTTGCCCTCCTGCTCCCTCTGCTGGAGCTCAGCAAGTGAGAGAAGGCACTGGTGTTAGTGGCGTGGCTGCAGCTGCAAACACCAAAAATATTCTTTTAGTGTAATCTAGTAAATATTCAAATACATGTGTTGATATTTGCAAACAGTCTTTTTGCTTTGGTAGAAAGCACACAAAGCTCTTGAAGTTTACAGTCATTGATGCTCACTTCCGTGTTAAACCACTTCCAACTTAAAAGAGTGGCACATAAAAATGGAATTTGACATTCCCAATATGTAAACATAATTCCAAATAGAGATTTTGTGAGATCCACAGGCAGGTTGTAAACGGTGTCACTTAAAATTGACATTTTTTGGCCCACTGCTAGTCTTCCATCTCAGACACTGACACCCTGTTATGTACATTCAGCATTCTGAAAAGTGTCTGACACCTTGGTGGCAAATAACTATAATCGAAACACAAGAAGGCAAAGACAGATGAATCTATAAAGTGTGTTGTAGACAGCCTGGTCTCAACAAAGGGTTCAACTAAAGCCAGGGCCTCATGGTGAAACATTGCTCAGGCACAAAAGAAAAGAAAGGAAAAATGTGTATTTTGTGCTGACTTCTTAATGTTTCACCTGAATACCTGGAAAACACAGTAGGCTTTTTTTATGGTATCACATGGCAGTGTTTTCACAGTTAGAAAAGGCATTATAAAACAGTTACTGTTGGCACTAGGCTCTAATCCCAGCATTTGGGAAACAGAGCCAGGTGGATCTTGGGATTCCTTGCCAGCTTGGTCTACAGAGGGAGTTTAAGGATAGCTGGGATTACACAGAGAAACTATGTTCTCAGGTGTGGGGAAAAAGGAAGAAACAGAATACATTAAAATACACGATAAAATTAGAAAGTATCTTTTTAAGAATTATGACAAGTCATTAATATTAGAAAACTATCTACAAGAGACTTTTATCTCCTTGGTCCAAGATAAGCACTATATCCACGGACACATGATCAAACAGTGTATGTTCATTCTTGTGTCTGAGACTGAGCTTACAGTGTTGTTCTGTCTTGCTCAGGATTCAACATGTAGAACACACAAAAGTGGACCTCAGAGAATTCTACCCCCAGTTTCTCCCAAGTACTAGGATTAAAGGTGCACAGCAAAACAACTGTTCCATCTTGTGGTAGTATTTTATTCATGCTCTACCAAATAAAGCTTGCCTGGAGGTAGAGTGTAGAGCTAGACACTCGATGTCCATAGAGGCCGGGCAGTGGTGGCACACACCTTCAATCCCATCACTTGGGATGAGGAAACAGGAAAATCAGGTGATCAAGGCCACCCTGCTGTACCAAAGCTTGAAGCATTCTAACAGAGAAACTGAGGTCACACCCTTAATCCCAGCAATGAGGAGGTGGGAATGAAGTTGCTGGGCAGAGAGAGGTATATCAGGCAGGAAGAGAGAGCAGCTTGGAGCATTCAGTCTGAGGATTCCTAGAAACAGGTTCTCTTTGGTCAGAGGATTCCTGTAGAGGGATGTTCACTTTACCTCCTTCTGTGAAGCTGACCACGCCCATTGGGGGGTGGAGCCAGGGGCGGAAGTGACCTCTGGAAGAAGGTCTGAGGAGGAGCCCTGGAATGCTCTCTCTTGCTGGCAGGTCTTGGAGAGGAGAGCTTCCTGTACAAGTTGCTGGTGTTCATCTGTCTAGGTTGTAGGCCATTTCTCCCTGAATAAACATCTATTTGGTCATCCTGATCGTCATTAAACCGCAATAGATTCAGGAGAGGTAAGAAGTCTTGCTATAGGCTGGGTCTTTTACTTCTCTGATTTGTCAGCATTTACACTGATAACCGTCTCTGGGTTTATAGCACTAATTGGTATTCTGGCTACACACCCTGTTGAGTTTTATTTTGTGGTCTGTTGCCTGCCAGTGGTGTAACTGTGGGCTTTTCTCAGGAGGAAGGTCGAGGCCTGCAGGCTGTTTACAAGACTTTGTACTGGGATAGGATGTTAAGGGATACAGCAGACTGGTTAGTGTGGATGAGAATTGTTTGTTTCTCCTTGGTGTCTCTTGGAAAATAGTTCCCCAGGAGTGTTCCCTCTTGGGATATGTAAGACTTTCACCAAATTTGGTTCATGATATATTCATTAACATAGTCTTTTAATGTTTGTGATCCCAGTCATTCAGGTCTGTTTCTGCCCCTTGGAGTTGAGTGAGAAGTGGTGGGAAAGCGGCATTCAAGTTGCATTCAAGGAAAATGCTTTCTAGGTATTTTCAGTATTGTGACTCTGCATGACCATGGGAAATCACTGGAAGTTATTACTGTAGACATCCACTGACAAAGGTCTCAGAATTATCCTGCTGTATCTGAGAAATCTAGGTGCTTTCTGAGCCATGTTTTTCTCATGTGCCGGGTAAATGATCACCCAGATCTGCTCACCTCTGGAGCCCAACAAAGAGCCCTGTAAAGTGGAGAAGGAGGACACAGTAGCTACATATCTGATGAGCCAAATATAGTTTTGCCACATTCAGATTCACTGGAAGTAATTTCTAGTGACATCCACTGACAAAGGTCTCAGAATTATCCTGCTGTAGCTAAGAGAAGACTCACTACATGAGAACTGAGTCTAGGAGGCAAATCAATTTTATATGAATATGCATATGAGTCCTGGACAGTGGGTTCATGTTCTCCTCCAAGTTCCATCCTCTCCTTTCCCCAGACGGTGCCTAGGTTCCCAGTATCATATACGATTTCCCACTTGTTGAGAAGGCTTTAAGTCCAGGTAGATTCTGTTGGTCAACACCAATGATTGCCAAGCTTGTAGCATGTGTGGCTTCATGCAGTGTAGAACACTGTTGTGTTCACAATTGTCATAGTTGTGTATGACTGTTGGCTGGCCTCTGTAAAAGCTTAGATGTTGCCTTAAGATACCCTGAAAACTATTCCTCAGTGAAGAGGCTTTAAATTCTGGTTCATCTCCAGTGTCCTGGCTATGATTAAATCACATGGCTTCTTCAACAGTAGGGGGCACACCTTCCACTTCTGAGAGGTGAACATGCAAAACCCCAGTATCCTGTACTGCTTTGGAAATCTCAAGGAAGCTCTGATCAATATCAATGCAGGCTGCTGTACCTACTTTGTTGGAAAAATCTATGGCTCCTATGAGGAGCCTCATGAGATGAGACAGAAAATTACTGCTTACGGAAACATAGAAGTATTATAGATGTATTATTAGATTGTTATAGGTTGTATAAGTTAGCATCCTTATGACCTTTTTAGACATACTCACTGTTATTTTCCTTATTCTCAGTCTGTGTTTATTTCTGTCCCTACTCCATTAAACACACACACACACACACACACACACACACACTGCATTTCCTACTTATTTTAGATCATTGCTTCCTATTTTTCTTCTGATTATATTCTCCCACATCCCACATGAGTATCCTTTTATATACACCACATTCTGTGTGTCTTTGTGCATGCACACCTCAAACACTGCCTAGACTCATCTCCTGTCTGTCTACTACCTTATTCTACAATTCTAATCAGTCCCTCTACTATGTGCTTCGTTATTCACTTTCTTGGTCTCAGTGATATTAACCAAGGCCATGTCTGAGACTGTGTGTTTGCAGCTATGTGGTG